ATTCGGTAGGGTTAAAAATACACTACCCAAGAAAATGGTGGCTTAAAGGCACACTCGAAAAGAAGTGAGGGATCAAGGCACACTCAAAATGAGGTAGGGTTAAAAATGCACTACCTAAAAGGTGAGGATGAAACACCGATATGACAATGCTAAAAACAATGCATTATGATCAATATGCATGTACACGTACCTGAGAAATATAGGTCCCCCCTTTTTTATGATCCATCATCATAGGGTGCCTTTGTTTGTTTTTCGAAGCTTTCTTTGTTCTTTCCATGCATTGACTCATTCATATGATAGCCATCCCTCAGCTGTAAATGCAGTGCCTATTTTAGGCTGTCTTTGACGGTTACTACTCTCGTTGTTCGTCAAGCTTGACTCTGCCCCTAAGAGTGGTGTTGCTTGATTCATTATGAAGGATTTTCTCTCCTGGATTCTTCTAAGAATTATCCTTTGATTAACTGTGGGTCTCTTGCCAACACTTATCGAGATTGTCAATCAGTCATGAACTTGCCTCCAGTTGAAACAATAATCTTCAAGTATGTTATCATTAGCCTTCATGGAACTGCCAAGTCATCCAGACATGCATCTCATAGTTTGCAGTAAAAAGCTCGTCGTTATAAGCTCAATGTTCTTCTTTATGGATTCCTCTCAGCTTGCAAATTAGATCATGAAGAGAAATACATTAGTATCATTAATGATGTTCATGTTATCGCCTATATTCATGCGATGAAGTGTGTATTTGCTAGGATGAATATGTCCTTCAGATGTAGCGTTGCTCACCAAGTGATGCTGAAATTCACATGATCACAGATTGTCTTTTAACAACATTTCCCCTAGTGATGATCTGAATGCTCGTTCATCTATCTATACTCAAAAAGGTTTTTCTTTGTCATCGCTAGATGCTAAACATAACTTTAATGGACTTTGATGACTCATCATCTAATTGTGCTTTCCCCCCTAGCTGAGCTGAATACTGTTTGTTTTCCTTCTTAGAGTCTACTGTATTGCCCTAGATGGTCAACTTTTTAAGGAGTGTCAAGAAGTGTTGATGTCATTTCTGTTCGGGATTTTGCAAACTCGATCAATGTTCTTCTTGTTTGATAATCTTGTTCTGGAATCAAATCTCATATTTCAACGGTCATGTCTATTCACATCTAATTGTTGAGATGAAATCAGAGAGATGTCAATTTTGAAAATCAAGCTTGGTTGGTCAAAGGTCCAACACATGCTATTCAATGTAGTCCTTTGATTGTCTTGTATTTTGAAAACAAAAATGACGCGTTGTAAGATTAAAATGACTCTTTCCATGGTTCTTTGTGTTAGTTTTAATCTTTGATCTTGGGTATATCTTTTGATAGTCTGCGATGAGGTGACCTTCTGTGAATTTCAGGATAATAAAAGGCTCAAGTCAAAACTTGAGGATTCATCAAGGAAGTTGTTTTCCTTTTTAGCACCAATTTTAGTAGCATGCATAATAACTAGTAGCTTAGTCCATGAAGCCACGACTCTTATGGAAAACTCTTCAAGTTTTGAGATCGCCATTTATCGGTTCAGATTGCTTACTTGATTAAAAAGGGCTTTTAAAAGCACGTAATGTAGGCTATGGTTAATGGCCATGAAAGAAAGGAAATTCAAAAGCTCAAAAGGTGTTTGAGGGTTTCAAAGACCCAGGATCAACATCGACTATTCATCAATTTTCTTTCTCTTATTGTCATAGTAGAGAAAGTGACATATAACCTTGTTAATCTCAAGTATCAGAATTCTCTTAACATAGGTCATAATGCAAATCCAACTTTTCTTTGATGAATAACCAATCTAATCTTTATGTGAAGACACGAAAGGCTTTATCCTAGACACACAGAAAGACATGAAACTTGATTTTTTTTTTGGTGTTGACTTCTGGCATTTGCTATGTCTTTCTTTAATTGAAACTTCTTTTGCCTCTTGATTAGTACTTAAAAGTGCATTTTTATCATGGTTTTATATCATCATTTTGCACTTGAAGTATCAATAACTCCTTAACTAAAATATGTTTTATAATAATATATCTAATAATATAAGCTTTCCTTCTACCTTTTACCCATATTTTCCCCTTTCCTTCGTTTTTGTGTGTGCATGGTTTGTGGGCAGGGGATTCCACATAAAAAGGAACTCTATCCCAAGCAATAAAAATAAAACCTTATGGAATAAACCTGCACCTCGGCATTGCACAGTGTACAGAACAAAGCATCCTCTCCAGATTCTTCCTGTAGAATATCTTCATCTTTACGGCAATCTTGTTTCACAAGAAAACAGCAAAAGAAACCTCCAAGTCTTGAACACCAACTTGAACCGTATTTATAGGATTTCCCTCCATTTTTTAACCTTATTTTGCTAGGTTCTTCAGCAGAGTTTCCTGATGAAAGACCATGAAGCTTTTACAATTTTGTTTTAAAAAAGGAAAAATATTATGAAAAAGCTTATATCCTCAATGGAAGTTTCATAACTCCACAATAGACAATATGTTCATTTCAATAAAAAGGTTGAGCAATTGCCCACCTACATCTGTCATTCAACTGAGAAAAACTGATACAAACCAAAAACACTTAAGAAACTCAGTTTACACTTTAGACAGTACAATAGCATGATCATCATCATTTCTAGACAAAGTTTCAGAATGCTTCAAGTTTCCTTTCTAAGGGTCCGAGAGGCACATGCTACTAGTACAGTGTTTTCATTATCCATATTATACATCACCAATAAATGTTGACTCCAATCTCAATCTGCAATTCATCGATTTTCTAGTTAGAGAACTGCATGGAAAATAGACTAACCAGGCAGATCTGTGTCATTTTCTGATTTATGGCCTGCTGTCTCATCATCTTCTAGTAGAATTCCAGGATCGGCCGGATCAATTGCAGTGCATCGTACATAAAGAATAAATACGGAGAGCGCCTGAGAAAATCAGAAAAGAGGGAAAATGCAATAAGGCAACAAAAACCCCCCAAAACAAGAAATCAATCACTGAAAAAAAACGAAAGAAAAGAAATGGCAGGGAAGAGCATCATTGTGCTTACCAATACAGAATAAACACCAATAGCCACATATTCATAAATGACCTTCCCAAGAAAGGGAGCGAAAAAGGCATAGAATGCAACAGATAGCACGAAGAAAACTGTAATAGCCACAATCTGTGCACCAGAAACTTTCAACATCAGTACTTTAATTTAACAATAAACAACAACGCTTGTTCACAAACCTCCCCAATATACAGAAACAAAGACCTCAAAACTCATTTGACCAAACACCATCATGCATAAACCATCTATACCATCAACACTTTGCAAAACACTACTAACCAATATCCACTCATATGATCTTCAACCATTAACATTTAACTTTGTTTTCTTACCACAACAACACAGGTAGGTCCCTCCCTCCCTGGCTTGATTCACCTTGCTTTTCTTAGAAAATGAGCAACGTGAGTAGAACAAGATTATGCAAATTACGGTAACGCGAGGTCACATCAAGCCATCTCAACCACACTTGGCTCCAAAATCCAAACTTCAACAACCCGTTTATCTCATAAACCAAGCCATTACTAATAAAAAATTAACTTCAAATTTGGACACTCCAAAATAGAAAGAAACACAAATTTTTATTGGGTTTCTCTCGTCTTACAGCAAAATTATTCCACTACAGTAATTTCATGCAACAAAGAAAAAATTTCCAAATAAAGCCTCAATTTTTACTCATAATTTAAAAAAAAAAACATAATAAACAAAAAGAAAGAAAGAAATGCACCTGAAAAGTATGAACAGGGAGTTGCCATCCATGTCGCCTAGCCATTATTTAGAAAATAAAAAATAAAAAAAGTTCAAAATTTTCAATTAAATCCAACTAACCTCTAAACCCTGTGACTAAACACCTTATATAAATCTATGTGCAAGAAAAAAAAATGAAAACTGCTGCATTTCTTTGTATTCTAAAGTGGTTCAGTGAAGTAAAAATGGGTTCAAAGTGGTCATCAATCAGAGAGAGCGAGAGAAACTTGGAGGAGCAGGAGGAGGGGGAGAATTGGTTTTAAGGAAAAAGACTGGATTGGACTACACTTTGTGACTGAAAAATGCGTTTTTGTTTTTGTTATTTATTTATTTATTTCAATACTGTTTTTCGGGCAACGGTTTGATTTTAATAAATACTGTATTTGCACTTTAGGTCATTTAGAATTGATAGGAATTTTCCTTCATTTCCATTTTTTCCTTCTTTTTTTTTTTTTTGCTTTTACATAGCCTTCCTCAAAGTTTGCTTGGATAGCCCTCAATCTATGGCTTTTTCTGGCCCTTTCTTAATCATTAGACTTTTGTTTTAAGCCTTTTCCCTTATCCATTGACTCTAATAGTGGCCATTTGCCCCTAGTGTAGGGTGTGATCCTAGTTAGGGTTTCTTTTTGAAAGAAAATATTTTACCAAGCTCAAAATGGGACTGCAAGGGATAAGATTTCAAGAAATGTGAAAGGATAACAAAGATGGTCTTTTCTTATTTCAAGCAAGGTCAGTTAGAATCGATAAATTTTGACCTCATCTAGTGCAATGGTTTGGACTTGTAAGAATCATGATTCACGAGTCCATGACTACCAAATCCACTACATGTCATTATGCATACTATTAAAACTTAGCTATATGAAGTGTGGTTCAGTTTCAAGAGAGATGAGTTCAAAATTGTTTAGTCACCTCATGTCATCTTCAAACATCAAGTCATTTATGCAATCAAAACACTTTTTATCTTTTAGGATTGACTAGCATTAATTTTGCATGTTGGAGTTCTATCAAAATCTTTTGTCAAAATAACCTTTGAAAGAAAACATCTCATGCTTTCAAAACAACAAAGAGATGAAGAAAAGACATGTTTCGTTAAAGGATGAGATGTGATCCCAAAACAAAATGCAAAATGACAAAATTCATAATAAAAATGATTTGACAGGTCAACACCCTTCTTGGATTAGCTACTCTAGCAATATCTGTGTTTTGCCAAGCAATTTTGATCACTTGTCATTCTGAGGATGTTCAGCGACAAAATAATTGATGATGTCATCTTTCATAAACTCAACTCGATTCTTGGAACTCTTGCATTTATTCAAATGAAATGGTCCAGGAACCCACCATGATATTCACATCTTGTTTGAATTTTACCATGATGGTTGCATATAATTTATCAAATTTAGGGCAACAAGTTTGAAATTTGGCAGATGTAGGTAGGCAAATTTGAGTGGTAGAGGAATGTCAATCTTGGCAAAGACATTTGAGTAATTGATGCTACAGTGAGACCTGGCTAAACCACATAATTATGGTTTCCCATCTTCAGAGTCATCTCCTAATTCAACTCTCTTCACAGTTCTAAAATCCACGATAGAGCCTTCAATCTTTCCCATATTGATAGTTAGCTCTATTCTTTTGGCAATCCTCATAACATCATGTCAATCTTCCAATATTGTTGCGGTTGTATGAGAATTGTTGGAAACCACCCACTAGTTAGGTAATCTTGGTAGCATATAGAAACATACAGTACCACCACTACCGACATGTGGAATCACGCGTTGTCTCAATTGAAAGAGAACTTAATGAATCTAAAACTCTCCCATCTCATCTTCGATTGCTCACAGACAATGCCACAAACAGACACATGTAGAGGGAGTTCTGCTCTGTTGAAGTTTCAATTTTCTTCATGTATTTCAGTCTAGTCATGTCTCTTCTCTCTACTTCTGCGTTTTCATTCTGATACTAGTAGGAGAAAATTATAGATGATCTGAAACTACTACATTCCTTCTTGGGTTTCCCACTTGCAGATCCACAAACAGATTCCTGTTGAGAGAGCTCTACTACGTTGAAGTTTAATGTCTGCTCAATATTTTTCAGACCAGGTCTGGCACTTCAACCTACCATAGTGTCTTTGTGCTGAAACTGATAAGAGAGATTTTTATAGCATATGCAACTAATAAATCCCCCTTTGCATTCCCAACTTGTAGAGCCATAATTGAATTTTTGTAGAGAGAGCTCTGCCACGTTGAAATTCGATGACTGCTCATATTTTCAGACCAAGTTTGACTCTTCTGCCTACTACAATGTTTTGCTGGAGCCACTAGTGAGAGAAAGTTTCTAAGCATATAAAACTACTACATCCCTTCTTGCATTCCCCACTGGCAAATCCACAAACAAATCTCTACAGAGAGAGCTCTGTCACGTTAAAGTTCAGTGTCCAATCACTTTTTTTTGGACCAACATCTTGTGCTGCTGAACTGGAATTGAGCTTATAGTGGGGGTGACTTCAAAGAAGGCTAATGGTTATTAGATGCCATTAAAAGATGTGGAGGTGATGAATGATAAACAGTACAACTAAACAAGAACCGAGGTTGTCATTAGTTGATGACTGGAGGCATTGCCGCTGTTGTTCATGATTGAAAAAGTGAGGTGCAGCTTTAATGGGATGTGGGCAAGCAGTGTTCTCATAGAAGACTATGCAGACATACCCTTTCCATTTAATGCTCTACACTTGTACGGGCGGATTTGAGTCTAGCTGCTTCATCTTTGATGCTCTTAACTTCCTTTTGACAATGAGCCTTTCTCTGACCCTTTTCTTTATTTGACATCATCGTTTTTCAATCAGGGCTAGCAAAGCTTATTTGGGGGACTTATTTTCAACCCGATGTATGCATGATAAATGCATGACATGTAATCTATATGATGAACTTGCCCCTCAAGGGGTGACATATGGTCATAACTTTTGCATGATGAGACAAGAATTTTTATTCTTGCTCAAACTTAACAAATAGAAATTTCTTAAGTGATGACCATTATATCCCCCTAAGTTCTGAATTCAAGATGCTTCAAGAAAGGCTTGCTCAGCTGCAAAACAAATATGTATGGAGCATACATCCTAAAAGTAGGTTCTAATCTTTTTACGTGAGACAAAGGGTAGGTTCACTACTTGGTCTCAAAAAGGGTCTCTTGTTGTCCCAGTGATCACCCTTGTAAAGGCAATATAGGGGCTCAGCAGATAGTGAAATGGTACATATACCAATCATTAACAGTCTATGAACTTAACGAAGAGTTGGGATTTACACAAACTTAAACCTTGACTAAAGTCATAAGGTAAGCTGTTAGTCCCCCACCTAACCTAAAGCTCATGTGTACTTTCAAAAATTAAAATTTGTGATGCATGAGACAATTCTATACAATGCATGAATAAAACAAAAATAAATCAAGACAAAAGGCAAAAAATTTAAACACATCAAAAACACAAAGCTTAGTCCAATAATGTTGAAAACATTACCTCTCCCTAGCGGAGTCGCCATTCTGTTGCACGTCCCCCACACGACAATTCAGTAATTTTTCATCATGCACACCAAGATAGAGAGAAAAAGATGAGAGTGAAGAGAGAGTAATCCCATAAAATTATGAGGTATTTGTGAGAGAGTAAGTGAGATGTTTTCTCCTAATAATAGAGAGATTCTTAATTGTTCTTATATTATATGAGAGATGTTGTAATTCCCATATTACTTAGAAAAATCCTTCTATACTTGCTTGGGTGAACCACATAAATTCTTGTGTCTCATTTCTTATTTTATCTTATTCCTTGCCTTTTATCTTGTCGGGTTTACATGCTAGTATCCTAACAATAAACTCATTATAGCATTGTTTTACATGTCGGTATAAATGTATATATATTGTGTTGTGTTTTCTGTTATGTTATCAAACCCTCTAGCTTAACTACATAATTCGTTTCAGATGTTGTATTATGTGCAACCTAAAAGAAAAGTGGACGAGGAAACTTTTTTGGTTTTACAATGAAAACAACTAACAATGATCACACTACAACTTTAAAGAAGCATAGAATATAAAATTGTGTTCCACATTCATGACAAATTGTCCTTTAATTCTATTTCTAACAAGCCAAAGGGACATCATTTCCTTCTGCTAAGACTATAGCTAGAGTGCAATGGAAATGATCACCAACCAACTACGAGGCTAGCTAAAGGTTAACTACCCTGTCATGAAACATGAGATCAAAAGCATTATATATATATATATATTCTTTGTTCTTTTATGTTATATATATATATATATATTCTTTTTTCTTTTATGTTGACAGAGAGGTAATATAATATATTTCTTGGATCTCTTTAAGAGTTTAAATTTTGGGGGTTAAATAGAAAAAAAGATTTAATATTAATGAACTAAAATTTAAAAAAAAATTAATTAAAAAGGAAAAAACAAAGAGAAAAAACCTACAGGAAGAAAAAGAAAAAAATCTGAATCAATGAGGTTAACTCATCAAACTTAAAATTTGTGTCATGAAAGTCTGATAATTAAATAGAAAATAATTTAATATTAAGAAACTAAATTAAAAAAAACTAAAAAAAAACTAAAGGCATCAACTTTTTCACTTTGGACTACCTTGTGCAGTCCATAGTAAAAGGCTTAAAAAGAAAAAGAAAAAAACAAAGGCATATGCCACGGGTTAATTTTTTTTACATAAAATATATATATATAAAAAGCTAAGAATCTAAGAGTGTTAGGTTTTTTTACAAAGATATACCCAAGAGCCTTGGGTCTTGTTGCAATACTTGACCCAAGAGTAATATTTATAATATTAATAATAATATTAAACTTACATGACTCAAGTTTAAGTGAGTCTGGTTGCAACACTAGACTCAAGAGCCTTAGATGTGGGTCTGACTGCAAGGTTGTGTCATAAAACTATGATAATTAAATAGATTAATTAAAAAGAAAAAACTAAAGAAAAAAAACTACAGGAAGAAAAGAACTAATGAAGAAAAAGAGAAAAATTAATTAAAGTTTGATAACTAAATAAAAAAAAAGAGCCTTAGATGTGGGTCTGACTGCAAGGTTGTGTCATAAAACTATGATAATTAAATAGATTAATTAAAAAGAAAAAACTAAAGAAAAAAAACTACAGGAAGAAAAGAACTAATGAAGAAAAAGAGAAAAATTAATTAAAGTTTGATAACTAAATAAAAAAAAATTTAACATTAACAAACTAAACTAAACAAAAAAATAAAAAATAAAATAAAAATTTCCTAGTTAACTCGTCATTCGAGGTTAACTTGTCAAATTTGAGATCCGTG